CCATGCACCCAAATCAGCGAAAACTCAAGTTTGAAGCAATCTATGAAGGGGAAACATCACGGAACTATCCCAAGGTGAATCGCAACTTACCCAAGTACCCAAATCAGTAAAAACACAAGGTTTGAAGCAATCTATGAAGAGGAAACATCACGGAACTATCCCAAGGTGAATCGCAACTTACCCAGGCACCCAAATCAGTGAAAACTCAAAGTTTGAAGCAATCTATGAAGGGGAAACATCACAGAACTATCCCAAGGAGAATCGCAACTTACCCAAGCACCCAAATCAGTGAAAACTCAAAGTTTGAAGCAGTCTATGAAGGGGAAACATCACGGAACTATCCCAAGGTGCATCGCAACTTACCCAAGCACCCAAATCAGTGAAAACTCAAGGTTTGAAGCAATCTATGAAGAGGAAACATCACATAACTATCCCAAGGTGAATCGCAACTTACCCAAGCACCCAAATCAGTGAAAACTCAAAGTTTGAAGCAATCTATGAAAGGGAAACATCACGGAACTATCCCTGCCTATTTCCCCGAAGTCAGGTCAATCATGCCCAAAGTCAAGTCAATCATGCCCAAAGTCCGTTTCTTACTTCCCAAAAAAAGTTCACATTTTTCCTCCCCAAAAGAAGCGAATACTCGTACAAAGTAGCACAAGGCTCCCAACCCCTGCTAGTTGTCTCAAGCCAAAAAATAGTTTCATTGCAGTCCTTCCCCAAAAGGAGGAGACAGAGTTCGAATGCGATGACAACATTACAGACTCGTCTCATCTAGGTCCCCCTTGTTTTCCCCTTGCTCACTCTTAGCCAACGCAACATGTGACAGTTTTATATCTAAGTGCTCTGATCCTTATGTATTTTCCCGAAAAAGCAACGACTTACGCGAAGTAGCACCCATTGCCCGGTCCTTAGTCAAAAGTTGCCTCTTTTCAGTCCATTTAGCAGAGTTCAAATGCGAAAATCAAAATGGCAGTTGTCCCTGCCCAGGTACCAACCCTTCCCAATTTCTAGTTAACCCCCCCCCCCCCCATTGCCTCTGCTATTCCCCTAATGTCCAGGTGGCCTGCGTTGAGCCTCCCTCCTTGCGCGATTCTCCCCTTCCTGCTCCATTTGCCTCTTTATTCCTTGGAGCTGGAGGAGTGTCTGTTCTGTAAAGAAGGTTGTTGGGGCTAGACCCAATCCCCTGCCCAACTTTTCCCTTGCCTTCATGATCCACTTGTATCGCAAGATAGTCCCCCATTGATCGAACCAATCGCTGAACTCGTATCCGAACTCTTCTATCCGTTTGTCCTTTTTCTCACCTGGCTGCTCCCTTCTTCCCCGTTCTTCTCTTGTGGGCGTTGTTACCTCATCTTCCTCCTCGTCGCTGGTGAGGTCGATAAATTCCACGGGCACATCCTCGTCCGGCCTTGGTCTTTTCCCCGGGTTCCTCTCTTCCTCACTGCTAGTGTCGCTTTCCGATGGGAGGACTATCGGCTCCCCTTCCTTTAGTGGCGATGGTCCCCTGGTTCCTTGCTTTCTCCCCCCTCTATTCACAACCAAGTTGTGATCAAATCCTACGTACAATTTCCTTTTCCTGGAGCTCGATTGTCCAGCCTGCCTTGACGACTGTCCCTCAGTAGGCCTGTTGATGGCGTTGCTGTCGTTTTCATTTCCACATTCCATTTTTGTCGTTTGCTGTTTGCTCCCTGCCTGGTCTCGTTCATGCATAACAATCACCACAACCCCTCATATACACGCATTCCCTTCCACTCCCATTTGCGGATCTGGAGGTTTCCCTAGAACTCTTGCTTGCCCCCATATAGTTGGTAACCCCATTATCCCTTAGAACCCTCGACACATTGTCCCAACACATAGATGCCCCATGTAGGCAGTCCACATCATCACCCCACAAAAACTATGGTACATTGTCCCAGCACATAAATACCTCGTGTAGACAGTCCCCAACGTTACCCCACAAAAACTATAATACACTGTCCTGTCAGCCCAGGCAGTCTCCCCACGTTCCACAGAAACTCAAGTCACACAAAAGAACAACCCTTGTGGTCATGATCAATTCCATAGGGAGACGGTCCAGGGTCATAGCCAGTTGTCTACCTTTCAAGCTGTGACTTCCCCTGTTTCCCTGCCCTGAGCCTCTTGTAGCCACTGTTCCACCGGATCCCTACTAAAAAATCTGACCAGTCTCTGTCCCGGAAATGGCCCTCTTATGCTAGTACCATCGAGGTCCTCAAGCTCAAATGTGTTCAGTCCCACCCGCTTGGCGCTCCTGTAAGGCCCTTTGAATCTTTTTCCCAGCTGCCCGGACCATGTGCTTTCAAGGTCCAAGTTCCTAACTAGCACCTTTTCCCCCACCTGGAGTGGCTCCTTCCGAATGTTCTTGACCTGGTCCCATCTTGCTTTGTCCCTCATTCGGCTATCCGTCACACGATTGACTACTTCCTCGAGTGCCTCCTCCTCATTTCTGGCGACCTGCTGGCAACGTGCGGTGATTAACTCCTCCGTGCTCAAGTGTGGGTCGTCATCTAGCCTGTTCCAGGTAGGGACCAAAGCTTCTATCGGAAAGTCGATCTCCCTTCCATACCAGAGTTCTGTTGGGATACATCCCGTTGTTCTTTTTGGAATCATGTTCTCGGCGAAGACTGCTTGCTTGAGAAACCGTGGCCAACTTCCCAAATTATCTGCTGCCAACTTTGCGATTGTGTTCTTCAAAGTCCGGTGACCCCTTTCTACTGGTGCATTTGCCTCAGGATGGTAGGGCTTGGTGATCTTGATCGGTACACACAGTGTCTTAAGCCTATTCAATACTTCCTGGTTAACGAATTATGTCCCATTGTCTGCTATAAACCTGCGCACGAAGGGGTGCCTTAGGTAGAAATCCTCCACCCAGTCGGCCACTGCTTTCCCCGTCTTCTTCTTGAGGGCTACGGCTTCTACATAGCCACTGAGATTATCCCTTGCATCCAAGATGTATCTAAACCCATCCGTTGATACGGGCATAACGACTAGGTCGAGGTGAACAAGGTGTCCGGGTCCCAGTACCCGGGTGGGTCTAAGGGGCTCGTAAACCCGTACGGAGCTCCTTTCTTGACATATCAGACACGTCTGACAGTACGTTGCGACCATGCCTGCCATTCCTGGCCAGAAATACAGGGGCACAATCTTTGCAAGTGTCCCCTTTGACGACCGGTGACCCCCAGCTAGCCCATCATGCATTGCCTGAATTATGTCCAACTGCCTAGACCTCCCACAAACGACGCGTCTAGGCATCATCCCTTCCTCTCTCTTGAACAGGTGGCCATTTCTTAGGACGTACTTTTCTACTTCCTCCCTTGCCTTGGGGATGACTTCCGTGGATTGTTTGTTCCCTACAAGCAACAGACCGATTTCTTTGAAGACGCCCTCGTACATCTGTATGAGGAAAAACTCGTGTTCCTTCTGATCCGCACCCTGCTCCTCCCAAGTGAGGTTGACTAGGTACTGACACTCCTTCTACGCCCAGGTTTCGGCCAATGTCATTACGGCGTCCCGTCCCCCTTCCTCGATCATTGCCATGAATTCCTCTCTGGCCCCTACTTCTGCTCCCCACGAGTCTTTTTCCTCTTTACGCCTAACCGTGGTGACTGGTCCTTCCCTGAGTTCTGCAACTACTGCAGGTGCGCCCTTTTCCAAGCTCTGAATCGGCAACTGTCCTGTTGTAATTGCCGGATCTGCCATTTCATTATCCACAACAAGGGTCCCTCCTTCGTACTCCAGGAAGGCGTCAATTGGTTCTGCGTCCTCTACTCCTTCTGGCGTGATACAAACCCTGCTCAGCCCATCTGCCCTATTTCGAAGCCCTGCAATTCGCTCAACCTTATAGTCAAATTGCCATATGAAGCCTATCCATCTGCCAACAGTCGGGTCTATGGGCTTGTAGTTCTTTAGGGCTCCGGCAATGTTGGTGGGATCGATCCTTAGTATAAATCGCCTCCCGAACAGGTATGCCTGGAAGGTCTTAAGACAATGTAGGATTGCTAAGACGTCCTTCTTGAACTGCGAATACCGTCATTCTGCTGAATTCAAGGTCCTACTTTCAAATTTGATTGGTGTTTCTTTGCCCCCCTCGCTTCTCTGTATCAATACTCCTCCCACTGCCAATGGTCCCCCGTCTGTTTCTAAGATGAAGGGCCGTCCTACCTCGTCATTGAAACAGGGTGCTGCTAACGTGACCTGATCGGATGACAGGATGTCTTTTAGGGTCTGGGCTGCCTCTTCCCTATCCTCGGTCCAATCCATAGTGCCACCTTCCCTAATCATCGCGTGGATGGGTTCTGCTTTGCGAAACCTTTGATGAAGATCCTCTAGAACCCAACCACCCCTAGGAAGGCTAGTACTTCCGCCGTGGTACGCAGGGGTGTCGGCCACTGAGAGATCTTATCAATCTTTGCTGGATCGGGTTTCCTCCCATAGGCTCCACAACGAAATCCCAGTATGGTTACTTCCGGGACGACCAGGATGCTCTTGGGTCCGCTTGCAGTAATGTTGTAGACTAGGATTCGCTGAGTAAGTCCTTAATATCCTGCAAGTGGTCCCAGACGAACTTCCGCACTCCCGGTTGCACTTCCATCTCATCTTTGTATCTTGCGCCTTTCACGGGATTATCATCTATGTAAGGTTCACACTTTTTCGAAAACATATCCCCTGCAACGACGAGCATCCTCCTCTGAGTTTCTGCTACCGCATTTGTGAAGCCCATAGGGGTCACTTGCATCTGCAGCTGTCCTACCGGGGTGTGCATTGCGATATACGGTCATTCCCTCGCATCGAGCGGCAACTGATCATATCGTGAGTACAAGTCTACCAGGGAGTAAATGCTCCGCCCTGCATGAGATTCTGCCAATGAGTCGGCCTGTGGAAGCGAGCCTGCGTCCCTAATTGTTACCGCATTGAGCTTCTGCAGGTCCTGGATCCACCTGAGTGTCTTATTGGGCTTCCTGAACACGAACCACTTGTTCGCGTAGGGAGATGCGGTGGGTTCAGCGACGAAAGAATTTATTTGGGCTCTAAGCAGGTCGGTGACCTCCGCTGCTATCCCAAACTCATAGGCGGGCCCTTTATCATTCCAACACTCGTGTTGTACGGTGTGGATCCTGACAGGGGGAACTAGCTTTGCGTCCAATCGTCCTTTCTGATGATCGTTGAAGGCGAAAGCTAAATGAAACTCCTGACATGCTTTTCTTATCGACCGAGTTTCTTCCGCTGTTAGAAACCCTTCCACTCCTATTTCATGGTATCTGCTACCTCCTCTGGTATGCGATGCCCTTCCGTTGCTCGTCTCTCCCTTATTACCCGCAAGATTCCCCCCTCCTTCTCCATGGCCTCTTCCTTTGACGTTTCTACTAGGAACGAGACCGGCTTGGCCTTCTTGCCTACGGGTTTATACTTTCGCACACTACCTTCGGGGATCGTTCTCCTAAAAAATGAACGGTCGGGATCGGCCTTACTACCTCCAAGATGCGGGGCTGGATGCTGACTAGCTTCCCATTCAGACAGTAGCCCTTTCGAACCCCATCCTCAAATCTGGCAAGCGTTGCGAGGTCCACCCCCACTTTGTGGTACCTCATGGCCTTAATGAGTTGTAATAAATCTGGGATTTCAAGTACTACCTCCGACGTTTCGTTCCGGCCTTCCTTTGGTTTGGGCAGGCTGGCCCCAAGTTCGACTTCTGACTCTTTTTCTGCCACCATAACTTCCAGGGACTCGTCCTCTGGCCTACTCTTCTTTACGGGCAAGCCCATCTTGATCCATTCCTTTTTACTAAAGCCCTCCTCAATCATAATTTCTACCCTTTCCCTCATTCCTTCCATTCACGCGAATGCCCCCTTCCGCGCACTTTCTTCGAATGTTGGCGACCAGGTTGCCAATTTGCTCTTCGAAGGGTCCCCTCCCGTTCCGAGGAGTCGGAGGAGTTCCCCGTGACCAGTCACCGGATCCTCTATGTCTACCATGTACGTGCCGTCATGCAAGTGCATGCCAATCATTTCTACATTGGCGCACCATGGCCTCCCAAGGATTATGTCATGGTCCATTTCTTCCATGACGGTCATCCGTTGGAAAGACCAGATGGATTCCCGGACTCCTGCCCTGACCGCGCATTTGGTGATGTACCCAGTGAAGGGGATTTCTCAGCCGGCTCCCCTGATACTCCCTGCTACTTCCTTGTTTATTGTGCACCCGGTGATTGTTGTGAAATCCCGTCGTATGAGGGTAATTTCCGCGCCGCCATCCACTAGTGCATCGATGTGGTAAGTTCCGATCTGTATTTTAAGCTTTCCTACGCGCAGTGCGTGAAAGCTAAGTTTAGTGCCAGGCGGTGCTCTCATGACTTCACCACCTTCTCAGTCCGGCAGGTTCAGACGAATGTCAGCAAAAACTTTTTCCAAATCTTCCATGCCCCTGGGATGCTTTGGAGGTTGGAGACTCCTTGCAGCGCCTCGGCCTCTTCCGTGTCCTGCTCTTGCAGTTCCGGGGCCTCCTCTACCTCTACGCGCTTACGCGTTAGCAATTGCCTAAGTCCTTTAAGCAGCCTCGGGCTGGCTTGCAGCATGGTCCGAAAAGACACCGATACCATGGTACCCAGTAGCTTACTCAAAGTGCCATCGATTTCTGGTGAAGTCAGGATTGGAATTTGATACCTGAACTTCTTTTCCGTCGCCGTAGCCTTGTCTACCGGTTCCTCCTCCCTCGGCTTCCCATAGACCTTCTCTTGATCCCCGACTTCGGTCTCTTGCTGGCCCGTGCTAGTCCCTGCGAGTTCTTCCATTACTGTATCTTGAACAAGCTTCTTTTCTGAGCCAGCTCGGCGAGTGGTGATATTCACCCTATCCTGGCCATTGCGTTCTAGGATAAAATTGGCCTGTGGTCCCCGTCCCCTTGGTTGCTCCCAGACAATCTCGGCTATCGGCTCTGCTTCTACGACAGCTATTTCTAGGTTATTCAGGAGAATGACAGCTCGCCGCATCCCTCCTGGAGAGTTTCAATTGACACGCTCCCCCCTGGGTCCGAGGATCTCGCCTTTGAGGGACCTACTGCACCTCTGCCGCTCGATATCGTGATTAAGTCTCGGACAGGCCCGTACGAAATGCCCGATCATGGTGCAATACTTGCATTGTTCGTTGGTCGGGTCCCTCCTGCCAAACCCCCGGTTTGCTACAGCTGCCGGAACCACGGCCTCTTGGGACGGGACGGCGGGTCTGGACACTTGCGCCTGCATTACGAACAACGCATTTTCCATTCTGTCCATCTTGCTATCAACCCCGTGCACCCGTTCGTGCAGGCTCTCTATCCCCTTCTTGACCTTATCCCCTGTTTTTCCGGTCAGATCTATGACCTCCCCTTCCTTAAGTAGGGCTAGCGTCTCGGTAACCACTGTCTTTTCCGCCAAGTCTGTTACTGTGCTGAAATCCACATCTCTCGTGTATTCGAACTTACTGGTCTACTGGTATGCTGACAAAATCTTATCCTTATCAAACTCGGAGAACTGCCTGAGGAAGTATTTACTCATTATGCGGTCCGTTACCCCGGGAATTCGCAGAGCCACTAACGTAAACGCCCTCAGGAAATCGTTGTAGGTCGCATAGTTTTTCCTCTGGACTGCGGCTAATTCTGCCTCTGTTGCCATTTTTTCTGCCTTTAGGTATTTCCTCATCATCTCATTCCTGGTCTCTTTCCAAGATCCACTGGAGGCGACGATGGCCATAATGTCCCTTCCCAAACTTAGCGATACGTGTTGTCCTAGGTGCTCCATCTTTTCCTCTTCCGTGCATTTCAGTAAGGCTGCTAGGTTTTCATAGTCTATTAGAAACTCCGTAATGTTGGCCCCATCGAACGTGAGTTTCTTTTTTGCATCTGCGAGATACCCCTGGTTCTTGTTCAGTGCCCTGTTGAGGGTGGCGACTACTTTCTTGAGACCGTCTTCGGAGCCACCCGCTTCCCCGGTTGCACTGGCTCCTTCCCCTTCCTTGCTTTCCCTCTGCTTCTCCCTGGTTTTCGGTGTTCCTTCTGGGTCGAACCATCCTAGCACTCTCTCCCTAAGGCTCCAGAGTCCGTCACACGCCCCTGTTACTTTCGGCGTGGCGGGTAGTCTGCTAGTACCGCTGTCAATGGCGGGTGGGGTCATAGCGTTTTCCGTTCCTTCCGCCGGGGGGTCGCTCTTGTCCTTCCCTTCTTGCTAGGCGTTCCTTTGTGACTATCATCCTTCCCCTCATACCTAGCCTCGTCCTGACCGGCCCTGCGTCCCTCACGTGACCCTGCGTCCTGGAGGTCCTCCTCATCCCCGGCCATCATCTTCTCGATAAGTCTTGCCTTAAATTCCGCGATCCGCTTCTCTATCTCTGCCAGTTTATGACTGGTATCCAAGACTTTCGTCTTTTTAGGGGTGGCTCCTGCTGAGTTTCGAGGACTTGTTCTCATATCATTTCCCCCTTCCCTGTTTTCCTGAGGTCCCCTTTTGCTACCCCCGGCTTTCCCCGAGCTTTCTCCAATTGAGGCGTCCTTTTCGTCTTCTCGGGTCCCCTCCAGTTTGGCTGACTCTCGATCCCTGGCTGATCCCTCGTTTCGTTCCCCATTCCCATTCGTGCCCTGATTCCCTCCGCTCTGCTGGTCATCGATCCCTTCCTCCGTCGTCATTTCTTTACCTAGCCTGCACATGGAATTTTTTTTTTTTTGCGAAAAGGCGGCCGATTGTTCATAACTGCCCTACTCCCGTCCCTAAAACCCGCCTATTCCCATATTTTTGCGTCTTACATTAATCAGTACGACTCTTCTGACTTTTCTCTCCCGGGGCGTCCTTCAGGTTTTCTTCTACCGGAGCCTTGCCGCCGCTGCTTTGGCATTTCATTACTGCCGCGCTTTGATTCTTAGGGTGGTACTTGAACCCAGTGGATTTCCTATCGGGGATGGCCTTTTCGGCTTATTGGCATCCAGGTGCCCCAGAATCTTTGGAGCGGGTGGTCTTTCTAGTTCCTCCCTGCCGCATCATTGGGTCGGCCGGAACTCCAACCACTGCCTCTGTTTTGCTGATGGCTGCCTACTTATCTTAGTACCCATTCTTTATTTCCCTACTTCTCCATGACGCGTTTTCTCATGTTGGTCCCTCAGACCTGCCCTGCTCATCCGGTTCCTCGAACAGGTCAGCCAACCCAGCAAGGTAATTTTCCCCCATCTCTATTTCCCTGATAATTATTGGCTCATATTCTTCAAACGACAGGTGGGGCAATCCGAATATCAAGATCTCGAGTAATTCGAGTAGTTCTCAGGCCTGGTTTTCCCAGAACGGCCCATGTCGAGGAACACTTAGGATGTGCATTGACTATAGGGACCTCAATGCCATCACTGTTAAGAACAGAGAGCCCCTACAACGCATCGATGACTTGCTAGATAGAGTGCAATGGTGTCGGTACTTCAGTAAGATAGATCTGAAGTCCAGGTACCATCAGATTGCACTCCGGCTCGAGGATCAACACAAAACCGCTTTTCAGACCAGGTACAGTCTGTACGAGTTTGTGGTGATGCCTTTCGGCCTTTGCAATGCTCCTGGCAGTGCGAGTTTGGCCGCACCCGTGTCTTGTACTTGGGTCATGAGATTTCCGCGGAGGGATTAAAGCTCGATGACGCGAAGGTGGCCAGCATTTGTGACTGGCCGCGTCCTCAGTCTGTGAGTGAGATGAGGTCTTTCTTAGGGATGACCAGCTACTATCGCAATTTCGTGAAGAACTATAGCATAGTTGCCGCCCCTTTAACTGACCTCACTCGCCTTGACACGCCATGGGAGTGGACAGACAGATGCGAGGCTGCTTTTAGACATCTGAAGCATGCGTTGACGCATCATGAGGTCTTGAAACTTCCTGATCCTGACAAGCCATTTGTAGTAACTACGGATGCTAGTACTTGCGCAGCTGGAGGGAAAAAAGTCGAGGCCGGTAGAGTACTTATCCAAAAAGATGCCCTCTCAGAAGTTGGCTAAATCCACCTATGAGAAGGAACTCTATGCGATCTACAAGGCGCTCACCCATTGGAGACACTATCTCCTTGGGAGGTTCTTCTACGTCAGGACTAATCACCAGACCTTGAAGTGGATGAGAACCTAGCCTGTGCTCTTTGACGCTTTGAAGAGTTGGATTGAAGTCATAGAGCAGTATGACTTTGAGCCCCAGTACATTAAAGGCGAGTACAACAAGGTTGCTGATGCGCTGTCGCGTAGACCAGATTTCTCTGGTGCGCTGATCACTGAGTTTGGGCTTGTGGACAATGTTACTCAGTCTATGGTGGAAGCCTATCGCAAGGTCCGGTTTATGTCTGAGATCATACGTAGACTCGAGGTGAAGGACAAAGCAACTTCTGCCGAGTTTGAGTTGGTCAACGGATTGTTGTTCCTTGAGAAGGCAGGGAATAAACGTGTGTGTGTGCCAGATAGAGAGTCTTTGCGTAGTTTATTTTTAGGCGAGTGTCATGATGCCACAAGACATTTTGGTTTCAAAAAGACTGCAGCCAATCTGCTGCAGCGGTTCTGGTGGCCCACGATGATGAGAGATGCAAAGCTGTACGTGGAAACTTGTCAAGTCTGTCAGAGGGACAAGCCACGTACACAAGCTCCTCTAGGGCTTTTGAAACCCCTTCCGATTCCGAAAAGGCCTGGTGAAAGCCTGTCCATGGACTTCATGGATACGCTGGTCACCAACAAGAGCGGGATGAGACACATCTTTGTTATCGTGCATAGGTTTAGTAAGTACGCTAGGTTAGTTGCAATGCCGGAGACAGCGAAGACTGAGGATGTGATTAAAATGTTCAAAGAGAACTGGGTTAGAGATTTTGGATTGCCAAAGTCTATAGTCAGTGATCGTGATGTGCGATTCACAAGTGAACTATGGAAAGCCGCAACTGCAGAACAGGGAACGCAGCTGCAGACGACGTCAGAAAACCATCCCGAGGCGAATGGACAAGCAGAACAGTTGAACCGCGCTGTACAACACCTGCTGAGGCATTACATCAAGCCAAATTAGGTAGACTGGGATGAGAAACTTGCTCTCATTGCCAGCTTGTACAACAACGCGGTCCATAGCGCAACGCGCGTGAGCCCGAATAGTCTGCTATTAACCTTTAGACCTCGACTGTCCTTGGATTTCTTACTACTTGAGAACAAGCCCTCTGCTGCACCAGGGACTTTAGATTTTGCTTATCTATATGAGCAACTGATGCAGCAGGCTGTTGAACAGATGCACAAGGCACAAGCGGCGATGATAGAGTCTGAGAACAAACACCACCGCCCGTCCACTTTCCAGGTAGGAGAGAGAGTCTGGGTCAAGTCCTCAAAACTGTGACAGGAGCACGGGATCTCCCGCAAGCTCATGCCACAGTACTTTGGACCATGGGAGATTCTGGATGTTGTCGGGGAAGAACCGGATGGGCCCTCTTATATTATTCACATCCCTGGTCACTTACGTACTTACCCTGTTTTTCACGCTTCTAAGCTTGCACCATTCAAAGAGACTGACCAGTTTCCTTCTCGTCGCTCTATGCTGCCCCCAACCATGGATGGAGAGGTCGACATCGACGACATCGTTGATCACAGAGAGATGCCAGTTCCAAGACCAACCGGCAGAGGACGTCCTCCAAAACCGAAGCTGCAGTAGACCACAGGTAGTCGCTCACTATGAGAAGTCTCTACGGAAAGGCAAGCGCCAGATTATCGAAGACGGAACTTCTCAGAGGACTAGCCAAGTACGGAGGAGGGAATGCGAGGCAAAGGCCTCGATATGCCCTATTGGGCCCCTATTTGCAACAACGTCGGCCGCCCTAAGTGAAGGCAGGCCCGACGGACCCTAAGAGGCCTATTTTGGACTACCAACTGGAGAAAATGCAGGCAGTTGCGCAGCGGCAGTTGGTTGGAAACGCCCAGGCCCTAATCTCCTTTATCAAATGCATCTGAGTCAGGCCCTGGGCAAGATTCGCAGCATAGGCCCAACTCAGACTGTGGGTAGTTGGGCACAAGTAATTGTCGGTGGCCCTGGGCCAATTATTTTGGTCTGAGGCTCAGCCTCCCTGGGTCCTACCGGAAGCTTCTGGGCCGAGGCCCAGCACAGCCAGGCTGCACGCACGCAGGCTGGCCATTTCCATATAGGAAAGGGCCAGCCCACGCTTTGGGCGTTCGGATGCTGGCTGCATGCTGCGCAAGCGCTGCTGCGTTGAAGCTGGCCAGCGCTCACGCGCTCACGGGCGAGCTGGAAGGAGCAGGCAGCCATAGATGCACTGCGCTGCTGTGAGCTGGGTGTGGCACAGGGTGGTCCTTGGATGCAAGTGGCATCTGCGAGTTGGGGAACGGGGTTGTGAGTGATACGAGAGACATACCTGGTGCTAGAAGCGACGACGTTGTCCGAGATCTGCTCGTACTTCGGTGAAGCTGTTGACGTCATCCGGCGGCATTGTAGAGTAGGCTAGATAGGATCTGCCATCTGTAGTCTGGGCGCCGAGCGCCAGATAGGATATCAACATTGGTTCTTCATTGATGATGATGATGAGACTTTACCAGCATTGTCAATTATGAGCTCTTGGTGTGTTCTTATTTGGTGAAACTCGTGATGCAATTCTACTATTGATTCGAGGTCACGACTATCTGGTCTTGTGTGCATGATGCTGTTTGATTTCTGAAGTTCGCTATCACTCATCTTCCTTGCATAATATAATTTTTATAGAATATAATATATAATATATATCATAAATATGATAGAAATACAATAAATATGATTACTAGAAAAAGAAAGAACAATCAATATTGCAAGGATCTGGGTCCTCAGCAGGCCTAAGGGGCCCTGATACAGGTGTGCCCACCCTAAGTGAAGGCGGGCCTAACAAATCTCGAGAGGCCAACTGCTGTCAATTCCGTATTTGGGGTCCAGGCAGTTGTGATGCGCCAGTTGGTTGAGGGAAACACAGGCCTAGGCCTTCCAGGCCTTTCCTAAAATGCAGGCCCTGGGCAAGAATTGCAGCCTCATACACAGACAGTTGGGAGGCCCAACCGAACGAGGCCCAGTAGCTGCAACAGAGGCACAGCCTCCTGGGGCCTACCTGAAGCTTCTGGGCAGAGGCCCAGGCCAGCCAGGCCGCCGGGGGAGGCAGGTTCTTTCCATATAGGAAAGAGCTCGCTGCCTGCTCTGGCATTGGGGCACTTGCCAAATGCTGCGGCAGCGCCGCTGGAGCGATTGCTCGTGGGCTGCTTAGCGCTAAGGGCAAGGTGCTTCGCGCGTGCGGTCGTGCAGGAAGCAGGGCGCTGCTGAGGGCAGTGCCAGAGCCCAATCCTCCATAGCTGGATGGGCCTGGACTACAGTGAGGCGCAGGGATGGTCTTCGGGTGTACAGAGAGGGAAGACATGGGTGTAAGAAGAGGGAGAGAGAGAAGGATGATGATGATGATGATGTGAGGGCACATACCTGGTATTGGCGATGGTCTGCATTGGGCGACATCTTCAAGTACTTCGTGGGCTGCTGACGTCAACAGTTGCATTGTCAATTAGTAGGCAGATTGTAGCTGTGTACGAAGTAGGCTGGGCGCCGAGCGCCAAGTAGGGAGAAGGTCCTGGACTCTTGTGTTGGTGGTGGCGAGAGCAAGCTCTCATTGACATTGGTTTTCAGTGTTACGATTCTCCATCAGTATCATATTGGTGCAATGCTGCTTTCTGGACACTGTGATACTTCCTGGCTTTCAATGTGATTGTGTGTTCTGGATATTGTCATCTCGCTACTGCTCATTTTCCTTGCAATTTGGTATCGGAGCTGGTTCTAACTGTGCTTCATTGATTCTTCGCAATAGCTGTTTGGTGCTTCGCATGAGGTGTGGGGCAGTGATAAGGCTTGGGCGTTGGACGTAAGGCGGCCCAGGGTCGTGTGGGCACGCCAGGAAGCTATGTGGTGACATTAGGGGTGTACGCTGGATGATGAGAGCTCGCTGATGTGGCATTTAAGCCGAGGTGGAACTGCATTCTGCTATGGGTTGTGCCGAGGCAAAGACTGGTCATCATAAATGCACATCAGGTTGCCGGTGAGAAATCTGTGGTTGGGGGCAGCATTATGAGGTACGCTGCTTCCTTCCTTATCTACCCTCTTCATTGCTTCTTACCGTGAGGAAGTGAGTTCTGTCTTGAGAGTCCTCTCAATGTGAGGTATCGCAAGCGCTCAACCTTGAGAGTCAACATTCTTCCTGGGCAGCAAGCTGGTGGGAGACGGGCGAAGCCTCTGAAGGACCCTGGACGAAGCACTCGGGTCACGGTCACCATGCCAACCCGCTGGGACTGGTACACGCATGATTTGCCACGAGTCCAATAGAGGTCATGTAGGGCATGCCAACCCTTTGACAGACCCTTACCAGACCGTCTATAAATATTTCTGGCGGGTTCCGATGTTGAACCCTGGCTGTGATCGTCGTCCTATCTGCGACGTTAAATATTTTTTGAGGACCTCGGGGGCTGTCCTTAAACTACCTCTTGATCAGCCATATCAAACCGAAAGTAAGGCTCGTTGTATGCGAGGGTAAACAACGTGCAGGGGCTGGCAGGTTCGTCATAGACTTGGGGCACAGGGGTAGGCCGGATTGCACACCTTCAGACACACCACTCAACCAGATGCTCAGGGCATTGACACAGAGTGATCACTCAAGAAGGATACAGGGAGAGGGGGGATTCCGGTAACTGTTCGCTGTTGCACTAGTTAGATAAATTTCCATCCAGCATACATCTCCACGAGTAAACTGTTTTATTTTTGATTATTTAGCTGTATAGAGTTGTTGACAACTGACAAACAACTGCAGATAGGATAGTACCTTCCTTGCTGCATTGCATTCTGTATCAGAGTAATCTAAAAATAGAACTAGTGTTACCTATAGGATCTGACATTAGTTGTCATTTACCACTTGACTGTTTCTCTCCAGGCTGAACGAATATAATTGTATATCACACTCGGTTGGATGCCATGCTGAGGTAGGATTCAGTGTGGATTCTTTCAGATTACACACGTTGTAGCTCATGAGTGATGCAAGCAGTAGTGGGGAGGAGGAACGGTTAGTGGAACCCCTCTAAGTCGACCGATCACTTTCCAAGAGTTAGCTCCAGGAGAGGAAAGGAGGCTGCGGAGGGAAGCTAGGGAAAGGGCGTCATTAAGGAGGGCTAGGTCAGCAACAACCAGCTTAATGGCCGCGATGGCTACCGCCTCCAACACGCCACAAGCCTCGTCCCAGGCCACTTCGTCAAGAGTCTGTCAGAGTGTTTCTCATGTTTCCGTTAGTCAGACTGTTGGCTTGCAAGTCAGCCAACAGACTCAACTCACAACGGAGGATTATGAGATCCTCCAAGCAGAATAACTTCATGATGAGCTGCAGCGGCAGTTGAGAGAGGCAGCAGAGAGGAGACAGTCGGATATCTTGAGAAAAGCTAGACTAGGGAGTAGGAGACAGGAGCTAAGCAAATTAGAAGCATTAGACAAGTCGACACTTTATCCCACTATGCAAACGCTGCGTAACTCGCTTCTTTGCGTGGCAGAAACGCAGGTTGTTCAGCAGGAAGTGCTGGCTGAACTAGTGGCTGCACTGCAGGCTCCTTGTCCAATGATGAGGCAGCCTCAATATGTTGTAGCTCCCCCCTCGGTTGCGGGTCCCTCAGTGACACCGTCGCCGGTAGGGCCCTCTTTTTCTCCCATGTTTGCCATTCCCCCTCCACGTGGTTTACTAGCAACTAGTGGTCCGGTCCTAAGAGCTTCTTTTGTACCATTAACGACGGTGGAAGCTACAGTGCCATTGTCAAGTCAGGCTCAGGTTAGCGCGCAGCAACCTGTCTCAGTGGCTATGCAGCCACTACAACAATCGCCTGGGCAGATCCAACCCATGCAGTGGATGCCCAAGATTCCCTTGCTGAGTCCTAAGCCCTTCTCTGGCGACAAGAAGAAGGATGAGGACCTGGATACCTGGGTGAGGACTGTGCCTACCTATGTGAGGCACAAGCTCACAAGGCCAGAGCAAGAAGTTATAGTCGTTGCCTCCTTTTTAGAGAGCTCGACAACACGATGGTTAAACGAGTTCGTGCAGCAGCAGGACTATGGTCAGAACTTCGATGCCTGGTCCCAGGCCCAGATGCTGGAAGACTTCGGACTGCGTATAACAGGTGGCTTGACCCTCAAGGGGCTAAGAAGGCCACTGACGCGATCAACAATCCGTGCTCCAAAAGGTACCGGACTGTACGCGAGGTCACAGACGCCGTAGAACGCCTGATCGTAGTACCTGGTGTGCGCTACGACCCGCAGGTACTCCTCATAGACTATTTGAGATGTCTGCCCACAGATGTCAAAAATAAGCTGGTGGACGAGGCCTGCGTTGACCAGCATAACTTCACTTCATTCAGCTAGAAAGCCTAGAGGTTAAGCTTGGGTCCGCTCTTCAGAGTCAGGGGATGGTAGAAAGAAGAGACTCCCCCAAGAATGGAAGAAGAAAGGTCAACTCATGTTCGTTGACCACGATGGTCAGGCAACTGAGATTGACGACTCCCCAGACTATGGGGAAGAGACAGAGCAGGATGGGGCCAATGAGACTTTGGATGGGGGAGTCGTGGCTCCTATCAAAGAGAAAGCTAGGGGGACCTGGAAGCAGAAGGTAGGCCGGTCCAAGGGTCAGGGGCGACCAAGGAACGCCCGCATGGGTAAAACTTGGTTTAAATTACGAGGTGTGGAGGGACCAAGTTGCTAGGGGTACTTGCTTGAACCGTGGCAACTATGGACACACGTCCAGGACTTGCCGAGGCAAGAAGGTCACAATGAGGGTAGCCTCTTCAATGGTGGTGGGCTTATCTTCGAACCCTGGCAGTGCTTCAGCGAGAAATTAGCAGGGAAACACCTTGTGCCAGTAGGAGTGTTAGTCGCTCTTACTCGTGCTGAAGTGGTAACGTTGCCTTCCCCACTTCAGGCGTTGGCCAAGGCTAGTGACCCATCCATCACCCCGCAGACACATTCAGACCCATCGATGCTCTATTCGAGAGATGTGTCCGATTCCCTAAAAGAGTTACAGATTGAGTGGTCAAGGAAGGACCCCAGAGACTCTTGGGCGATGATAAGTAAAGGTCCTAGGGGTGAACATTTCGTGGTAGAGGTTGATGTAGGTGGCCGCAAAGTGGGTGCCTTCGCAGACATAGGCTCTACATGAAACTTCATCAACTGCTTGTGTGGATAGGCTGCGCTTAGGGGACCAAGTGCAGCGACTTAGCAGATTTGTAGCATCTACACTAGCCGACAAGCACCGCATGGTTGTCCAGGACTATGTCAAGGACGTAGTCCGTACCTTCTCCTATGGAGGGGAAGTGAGACATAAAATCTCATTCCTTGTCAACGACGAACTGCCATTTGACATGCTGCTAGGTATGTACTACCTCGAGGTCGCTCAACCTCGGCTCGATTGGGATAGAAAGGTATTGATCCACAAGTTGCCCAACTGTAGAACCGTTAAAATGCAGAAGTTCAAAGCTAGCAATCTAGTGGAAAACTACGGGTGCATGTGTGCATCTTCCTTCTATTACTATAAGCAGAATCGTGAGGAAGGCATATATCTAGTCTTTGTCTGTGAGAAAGGGAGGCCGTAAAATCACCCCAGAGATAGAATCAGTCGTCGCTCAATATTTCGACCTTTTTAAGGAGCCCACAAGTGTGGTGGAAAGGTTAGTTGTCCATGCAATAAAGGTTGTCCCAGGTAGTAAGGTGCCTAGAGGACGAATCTATAGGATGTCTCCTGCGGAGTTGGATGAGCTCCACCGCCAGCTCAAAGAGCTCACACAGAAGGGATGGATTCGGCCTAGTACCTCCCCTTACGGTGCCATCACCGTAAAGAACTCGGAGCCCCTACCCCTCATCGACAACCTACTGGATAGAGTGTAGCGATGCCGGTACTTCATAAAGATAGATCTGAAGTCCCAATACCATCAAATTGCTATTAGACCTGAGAACCAGCACAAAACCGCCTTTCAGATCAAGTACGGTCTGTACGAGTTTGTGGCGATGCCCTTTGGCCTATGCAATGCCCCTTGAACATTCCCGCACGCAATGAATATGATTTTTCATGATTACTTAGACAAGTTTATCGTTGTGTACCTCGACGATAGACTTGTCTTTAGTAAGACTGTAGAGGAGCCACTGAGCACTTGAAAATAGCGTTAGGTGAAAATAGCGTTAGGTCTTTTAAGACAGCATCAGTACAAGGTAAACTCGGAGAAATGCGAGTTCGGTCGCACCAAGATCTTGTACTTGG